GGGTAGGGGTGATCTATCTTGGGAGCTGGTTCCGGAAAAAGAAGTCGGAGAGTGAATGTACCGCTAAACCGCACGACGTTAATTACAACGCTCCACCGGCCGACGTTAATCTACGGTAGTATAACACTCAATAGTTAATGACACTAACATATCACTCACTCCATCTATTTTGGGATTACTCTATTATACCCCTTTGCGCATTTAACTTTCATGTTCCTGGCCGCAATTTCCCCGCCTTTTTTTTTTGAACCGAAATCGTCAGGGCTTCCCGCCGCATACTCCTTTGAGCATCTAAATTTGACGTTCCCGGCCGCAATTTTCCCGCCTTTTTTTTGAATCGAAATCGCCAAGGCTTACCAGGTTCCCGCCGATAGGACATTATTACGTACGATTTCGGTTCAAAAAAACGCCGAAAACAATTGGGGCCAGGAACACCAAAGCCTCACTTCGAGACTTCGACGTTCCTGGCCGCAATTTCCCCGCCTTTTTTTTTGAACCGAAATCGTCAGGGCTTACCGTGTTACCGCCAATAGGACTTTGACGTTCCTGGCCGCAATTTCCCCGCCTTTTTTTTTTGAACCGAAATCGCTAGGGCTTACCAGGTTCCCGCCAATAGGACATTATTACGTACGATTTCGGTTCCAAAAAAAAGGCGGGGGAATTGCGGCCAGGAACGTCGAAGTCTCACTTCGAGACTTTGACGTTCCTGGCCGCAATTTCCACGCCTTTTGACGTTCCTGGCCGCAATTTCCCCGCCTTTTTTTATCGTGGTCCCGCCAATAGGACATTATTACGTACGATTTCGGTTCAAGAAAACGCCGAAATTGCAGCCAGGATCGTCCAAGTTAAACGCCCGAAGGAGTATTTAAAGCTATACGTCCTTGCGCCTAGCGCCGCTCTGACTGGGCATCAGCACCCAATCGAGTACTTGGACTATACACCGCTGCGTTAACCAATGGGAATAGATTAACAAGTTCCTTAATTAGTATAACATACATTACTGCACTCGGTTCGTTAATCCCCTTTGCTCGCTCTCGCTCGCTTCGACCAATTCTCTCTTTCAAACAATCAACCAATCACTCAATCAATCAATCAACCAATCAATCACTCAATCAATCAATCAATCAAATCAATCAATCAATCAAATCAATCAATCAATCTACCAATCAATCAATCAAATCAATCAATCAATCAATCCATCGATCAATCGCCGCAAACATCATGATAATCGGCAACACTCCCGTTGGGAGCGAACTTCGACTCTTACCGCCTCATTTCCTATTTTGTGGTTTCTCTGAGCTGGACGCGACTCCTGCCTCTCTATGCACACGGCCTAGAGAAAAAGGAAGATCGACGAAAATGACAGCCGCCTTTCTCCAAACACAGTGTATCCACATTGTGACTGCATCGAACCGGAAAGGTAGCTTGTATACGTTCACGATTAGGGTACGTTCACAATTAGGGTATGTACGTTAGTGGTCCCGCAAACAAGGTCGTCGAGAACGGGTTCCCACACGTCAACACTCGCCGCAGGAAGACTTCTTCTCACTGATTTAAACTAAAATTTCTTTCTTCTCACATTTCTTCTCACATTTCCTCTCACCGATTCGAACCCTATTTCTTCTCGCTGATTTAAACCCCATTTCTTCTCGTCTCGTTGATTTAAGCCCCATTTCTTCTCGTCTCGGTGATTTAAACCCCATTTCTTCTCGTCTCGGTGATTTAAACCCTATTTCTTCTCATCGATTTAAACACCATTTCTTGTCACCGATTTGCACCAGTATTCCTTCCCACTGATTTAAACCACATCCGACTCTACTACCGTCTTCCCCCGAACATAACGCATGTGTTGTAAGCGAATGCAAACGCATAGGTTGCTTTCTATTCGAATACAACGCATGTGCGCCCTAGTCGAATATCCCTGATATTCGAATACAACACGCACGCGTTCTATTCGGATTTTTTTTTCGTATCCATTTTTCAAAACTCCAATACAACGCATGTCCATTATGTTCGAGGGAAGACGGTATCAAACTTCCGCATTTTTTGGTTCCGATACGCAGAGTACGCGCGGAGCTCTGTTAAAGCCGCGGAGAGACTGATGGCTTGAACGGCCAACCTCTATTCATCGTACTGAATGGCAAAATACAGTAAAATAATCAGAAAAAAAAAAAAAAAGAGACCGTCAATGAGAAAAAAGTCGCCGCGGAGAGAATGGTGTTTTCAACGGCCAACCGATTACAATGACAGCACGAACCGGCCGAGCTCTGGTAAAGCCGAACGGATGCAGATACTAGATCTGAATGGGGTCGGGAAAAAAAAAAACGATCTGACCGGGGTCCAAACACATACGTACATACATGACGATAAATAAATCGTCTGTCTCATGATTTGATAACTGCGAAACCCACCGTAAGATGATTGAATAGGAAAATTGAAGTTGAAAATACGCAGTTGCGCTCGCCGATCGACTCGTTCCTTAACTGGTCAGGTCCGTCCTTATCGGACTCGAATTGGCAAAACTGCGAATGAGAAGGAAGAGTCGCAAATCCAGAAAATCCTCAACTGAATGGTTTACGCACTCACGGCTCCACTAATTGATTGAGTGCCTCACTCATTCATCGTCTGGTCATTCATCGAAAAAAGCTCTTACATCTGTTCGTTCGATATGCACATGTCAAAATTAAGGGATGTTGCACTCTCTCTCTCTCTCTCTCTCTCTCTCTCTCTCTCTCTCTCTCTCTCTCTCTCTCTCTCTCTCTCTCTC